TAAAATTTATTCATTCAATATTGCAAAAAGCAGAGCCGTTATTAAATAGATTTAAAAGTCTTCATGGAATATTCGGTAATGCTTAATATTTATATACCAACGTAGAGAAAAAAGAAATAAAAAGATAATCACGTGCGAGCTTCGGCGATCTTTGAAACCGTATGATTAATCACTGGGTGTAGTGTAGTTTCTTGTGTTTGTGTGTACATTAATAAACCTATCGATGAGGTGAACACTGATCAGAGCCAGTCATTCAAGGATCTGGTTACTTTTTTTTTTCTTATACAATCGGCTTTTGCCACGAATTTTTTCAAGTAGTCTTACATCAATTAATCACCTAATACAAAGTTTTTTTTTTCTTCTTTCCTTTAGCGCTATGCATATTATCATTACAATCTTGCTTACTTAACGCGTAAAACCTTAATTGTACTACAAAGTACTTGCGATATATTCAACACCTCGCTTAATTTAATGTTCATTATTATTTTTATCGGATGCATTTATATGTATCCTCGTTTACATCTCTCGTTATCTCACTTCTTTCTCTTCTACTCGCTCGCATTTCATCTAACTCCATTTTCTCCTCCTCAAATTACTTTACTTTTTTCATTTTCCCATTTTTCTGCAGTCTTCCAATTGTTGCATTCACGCGCACATATAAAGCACGTTTATAAAAACATCAGCTACGAAGGCGCGTTTTTTAAATTTGCTCTCTAATTTTACTCGTTCCTGGTTCACGGAGTAAAAGTATCGCGCCTCATCGCCTCGTTCTATCGTTTGCTTAATTATTTGCTCTTTTATTTAGCTTCTCTCATTAGAACGCGTGAAATTGTCAGTCTTTCATTATTTATACTTTAATTAAGAGTAATTAATTTTAGTCTTACAGTTAGTAGGGTTCTTAACAGATCGAAAGGCGCTTCTGACTTTAAAAACTTCTCTTGTCAATTAATTTCACATTACTTTTCATCACCTTTTTCTTTCATACTCCTCCGTACAATTATTATATTACGACTCGACATTAATTTGTTGAGCAAAATGTATGCTTTTGTATAATCCTAAGTCACAGATTTCGATGTTTTACGGATCCATTAAAACGTCGATTTTACAATTAACAAACGCACTTCGTTCCACAATACTTTCCAATCCATTTACCGGAGGATATTGGAAAATTTAAAATCAACCTTCTTCGTTTAAATAAATGTATAGCAATACAAAATCACAAAATACAGCTTTCAAAGACTATAAATACCTAATCACTTACAAATGTAATAAAGCTAAACTATGAGAAATGCATACTCGCTACTTTTCTTTTGACACTTCGTAAATTATCTTAATTCATAAAGAATACGTGACCTGCCTGATATCACGAATAAAAACTATATTTAAAAAATTTTAAAGCAATATTACTATTAATGTTTATAATGAATAAACAACTAATTCTATCTAATCTTGTTCGCAGTTGAAAATGAACTAAATTTTTATTATTAAATAACGTGCAATTATAATTAATTAAATTACTTCAGTACCCATTGCAATAGCTTTGCAAAAACGATGAAGGTTTTATAATATTAAAATCATTACAGTTATAGTAAATTTACAACTAATTTGAAGCAATTGTTTATTTACTCGTTTTAATGTAAATGCTCGTATTGAATTGAAGCTTTACTCTCGCAAAAAGCAGTGTTGAATAATTAATGGCTTAATACAGAAATCTTCTATTAAATGCTCTATAAACTTTCTTTGGAAATAAAAAAAAAAAAAATAAAAAAAAAAATAAAAAAAAAAAAATAAAAAAAAAAGAAGAAAAGAAAAAATAAATAAATAATGATAATAATAACAAAAGAAGAAGAGGAAAAGACAAAAAAAATGAAAAAAAAAAAGACAAAGTTACGAAATCTGTGTAGAAACTACAAAGCATACATGTACAGTGTGATTATCAATTCTTCGTTTTTTTCCTTTTAGAAACGTTTATGACTTACGTTTATATACAATGTAATTCTGCGGCAGAACTTTAATGAAAATGATTATAAGTATGAGAATAAAGGCGTTATGATTACTGTGCCGTTGGTGCGCTGTATTTTCTTATTCAGCATATGGATGCATTAATCACATACCTAAGAATTCGCGTGCCTAGCTCAAATCGATAATAGTGCAAAAAATCTACGTGTTTCCCGGGAAAAATCCAACATATAAATACATCGGTATTTTGTATTTTTAATTGTCTTACAATGTATCGCTACGTACAATTCAAACCTGTTTTTTTTTCCCCTTCCTTTTCTTATGTTTTCTTATCTTATGCTATTTTGTACGCAATGTATATTTAGAAAATTCTTAACTCCATTCGATGCTTATTCATTTCATCTTATTTAAAGTTTTAGTCGGAATTTATTGCTAATAAATTTTATATATATTGTTCAGTGGTTCTAAATTGTTTATGCCAATTGCTTCACCTTCGATAATTCAATATTAAATATTCATCCTGTTTCAACATTCAAATTTTCCATAATGCTTCACACAATTTTGGTAAAATTTATTTTACTTTTACTTTTACTAGAATTATTGCATATAGTATGAGAATAAATGAAAATGATGCACTAGAACAAATTAATGTATATAAATATATCAAATGACTCCGTTTAATTCATGCAATTACAGTTTTTATTCAATTATTTACATACAAATATAATTTCAATTTTTGTATAAAAATTTTTGATACTTTGAGAACTAGTTTTAAAGCTAAAATGTCAATTTAATTGCAAACTAACCATTCAATGTTATCATGTATATAAAAAAAAAAATAAAAATAAAAAAAAGAAAAAAAAAAAATAAATAAATAAAAAAAAAACTTATAATATTCAAAGCTATCACTTATAACCTGTAAAAGATACGTCGAAATATTATTTATTATACTAATTACAAATTAAGTAATCTATATGATTTTAAACCTTTTTGGTATACGATTAAAATACGATAAAGCTAATCGACCTTTATTTATTAATTATGTATTTGTAATGCACCGAATAAAATTTTCAAATTCAAAATTCAAATTGAAAAATTTATACTCTTCTTCGCGACTTATGATTTAAATCAAAAAATTTCAATTTTTTTACATAAAAAAATACTATAAGATTTTCGATAAGCTAATTTCTCAGTACATGAGTATATAAGTTTCACAAAATAGTACAGAAATGATTGCACTTGTTCATTACCCCGAAAAATCGACGGTATGCGTGATTGGGAGTAATTAGACACATGGGGTGGGGGGTCGGGGTTGGGGTTGGGAGGGAGGGAGGGAGGGAGGGAAGGGGGTCGTTTATACGTACATATCAATACGCTTTTTTCAAATTCACTTATTTGTTCACCGTTACTACTTTACGAATCAATCGAACAGAGCTAGGTACACGAATCAGGTCACGAGCTCATCCACATCACAAAAATGACAGAAGGATATATCGATCACTGAAAGTATCTCCACAAACAAAGCAATGCAAGTATAAATATATATTTATGATTGCGATGCGATTAAAAAAAAAGTAATCAATTCAGTCCATCAGTATCTTTATACAAAAAAAAAAAAAAAAAAAAAAAAAATATATATATATATATAAGAATAAACGAAAATTACATTAGATTAAAGTGCTTGGGAGCGTAAAATCAGAAAAATTCCATTTCCCGAAATGGATAACACAAAAACAATATTGCAAGTATATCGCATGGTTTGTCCTCCCTTTTCTCTCTACCTTTCGAAACATTCACTCTCGCTCAATCATCCGGTCACAAAAAATGAATCTTTCACACTAACTTTCAATCATAATTTCTCCTACTCTTCTTCGCATAACGCGATCCTTAAAAAGTCTTCTAATAATATGTGTATATATAATATATTCGTGTATATAATATATTTTATGAATATTACTGATTAAGTAAATACTAAAGGAAAGAATCTATCTTTCTAGTAGCATTTGGCTTACCAAATTCTGTCAGTTCCATATAAATAGTATTAAATGTTTATTAACACTTAGGACTCGAGGGATTATTGTCATTCTGTCTATGATTGAACACATTCTCAGTTGAGATCCATAGTTAGTCTATGTCTAAATAGATAAAGTTATATTTTGTATTGCTCGACTGTTTTTGAGCCGTCAGAAAAAAGATATTCGTCCGTGACAACAATCATCCGAGAGTCCTAGCGATGAATAAGATCTATTATTAAAGACATAAGCACTAAAACCTTGGAGAGAGTGAGAGAGATATAGAGTGGAAAGCAAGTGTAGAACTTTTTTGAAGTAAATTTTCATTTTCAATAGCCTTTAATTGTTACGGTATGGAGAACCTTTCTTTAACAGTCCCCCTCACATATAATTTTATTCTACTTTTCTTTCCAAAGGACTTGTAGCTTATATTTTTAATTACAGATGCGTTATAGCTTATATTTTTTACTTAAATCAAAATTAAACGTTAAAAATTATGAGAATATGATTCATTTTCATTTTCCTTCTTTACGCCTATTTGAAATATCAATCAATAAAAAACATCCTTGTTTTCTTTTTTTCTTTTGTTTTTGGTATATTAATTATCTTGTAGGACTGCCAAGTATAAAAAAAGTCCCTAAGAGCATAATGTATGCAAATCGATTAAGCATTTTTTGTGACTAAAAAAGTATCAAAATGAGAAATACTTTTTATTAATTGATATTAAATTCTTTTTCCATATAAATAATCCATCGTCAGAATCGTCATTATTATTTTTTTTTTCGCTTTTCGTTTTTTCTCGTTTTTGTTTTTTTTTTTTTTTGCCAACTTAAAACCACTCTGATTTCTTATAATTTTCTTAAAAATTATGAATTATTCTCTATCACACACAGTCTATTATATTACATATTGTTTGTCTCTAATGTTGAACAGTTGGGTTTATATGAGAATACACATTCTGCGCTTATTTGTTCCGTTTTTACCTTCCTTTCATTGTTTTGTCTAGTTTCTTTTTTGTTTTTTGTTGTTTTTTTTTTTCTGTTTGTTTCATGTTCGTCGTCCAAAAATTATAAAAATAGCGCTAACCTGCTGTATAAGTGTGTGGATAACAATACGAATGCGGTGCCATTTATTAATAATTGTTATCAAGCAAAATGAAACTTTAAGCTTCACCAAAACCACCTATGGCCTGCTCAGTCATGCGCAAACACAGCGACTCTAAGCGAGAATTTATCTCCGGTTCCGTCGTTTCAATTGTACTGCTTGAATGCCCAAAGAAGTTGTCTCTTGGTGCACTGTATGTACGTTGCAAGGTTCTCTGCAACTGCTGTAATGTTTACAATTTCTAAATTTAAAATCTTTATATATCGTTAAGTTGATAATAATTTTCATCAATGAATGTGTCACAGTTATTTCTGCGTTTACGTACTTTACAAAAATTTATGTAATTTTGCAGTTTGATTGGAAAATCAACCGTTACATATGCATCGATTAATCTAAAAGGTTTAGTAATAAATATTTATACATATATATATATATATATATATATAATTATATTTTATAATTATAATTATATTTTAGTTTTGTTATAATGTAATAAAAGTACATATTTTCTGAAACACATCTTTTTTAAAATATTCCGAATCTACATTAGTTATTTAATTGGATTTCGAACATTTTGATAAAATTTTATATAATACTTGGATCTAAAATATACAACACTTTGAACAATGTAACTTGAGTGTATAAATTAAAAAAAGAATTAATATTTTTTTTAATTTGTATCGAATCATGAATGCAAGTAATTAATGAAGAATTTCCTTAAAAATTGTATTAATTTCATTACCAGGCAATTAAACTAATTATAAAATAGCCTTTAAAATGATATAAATACAATAACAGCACAGACATTATTTTTAAGTAATGCATTTAATTATGAATTAACCTCCGAGAGGACAATGATTATTACGTATTAAACATATGATATATTATTTATATTGATTAAAGTATAAGTAATTTTATATATATGAAAAATGCATAATAAATAAGAAGTATTTTTAAATAAAGGCAGTATTTTACTATAAATAAATATTAAGTTATTTAACGTTATTTTATTAATCCATATTTACCTCTAAACTAGTCTCCTGAAGACTGGGTCGTTTTTCGGGAACTTGAACTGACTGGAGATTATTTTGATTTGATGATTGACTCGAACTTGATTGCAGATATGGAGTAGATATGCTGTTTCTATGTGGTGTAATGATAAAATTGTTTGATGATTTAGCGCTTCCAATATGGCCTAAATTTAAACTAGGTTTCCGGCTATGTTGTTGTGAATTACAATATCTTCGATTAAAGAAAGCATGATTATGCTGCCATCTAGAATAATAAAAATAATTTGTTTGTTTGTTTTTTTTTTTTTTTAACGAAATAACTTGATAATGAAATTTGTAATTGAAAAAATGCTATGTTAATATAACTACTATATGAAAATAGTAGTTAACAAGAAATAAAATATAATTTACTTAGGAGTCGGTCTAGGATTGCCAAGACGACTACGCCACTGTTGTACTTTTTCTTTCTGACTTGATGTAAAACAATCATGTTGTAATACCTTCTCAAAAATACTTATACATGAGCATAAGACTGCATCGTCTATATTTTCTAAAGCCAATCTACTGCATACTATAACGAAAAAATGTATATATATATATATATATATAAGTGAAAAATTTATGTAATTACAAAATATCTAAACACATTTATTATTAAAATTAAATTTAAAAAATGTGTGGAATAAATTATTCATATTATAATTTGCAAATGTAATAAAATTTGTAATGAATTTGAAATGACTTTTCACTCAAATAATTTATGATAAAAATCAATTATGCATATTGTATTTGAAAAGAAAAATATATATATGTAAAAAAAAAAAAAAAAAAAAAAAAGGGAAGAAAAATAATTGTGAAATTCTAGTAAACACTTCTCTAATACACAAATAATCGTTTTATTATTGATAGAGTAACTAAACATTTATGTACGATGATAAAGCAATATTCCACAAATTTGAATTTCGGAACTTACATTTACCAAGAACCTTCGTAAATTGTGCTGGTATGTCTTGATTATCATTCTCCTGGCTCGGTTTGAGAGGTGTTGCAAGTATTGCTTTAAGTTCATCCAAAGCGCCAACCATCAATGGCTTCTGAGCAAAAGAAGTAGATTGGTTTGTCTCACGTTGCGGCTGTACGAGATCTTTCTCCAAACTTAACAATGTCTGATAGCGCTGCTGTAGTTTCGCAATTGATAAAGCAAGCTTATGCCGTGCACCCTTAGTGACTCCTTGTTCGGCAAGACGTTCTTCTGTGAGTTCAAGCATTTCCTCGTAAGATAGGCTGGTAAACAGATAGCTGTATTTGTGGAGACGTAGAGTCTTGAGCCATGATGGAACGTCTATCAATATTTTGTATTCATTTAATAATTCCTTTATAACTAATATCGAAATATAAAGTTGATAAAATTAATATATAAATTTATTACAAATTTGGATAATTTGTAATGGAATTTTTAATCAATAAAAATCAATTGTTTTACACACACTTGTTAAAATGCTTGTAAAGATCAAGGTGAATATTCATCAATTAAATATTCTTTTGTATTGAAAGAAATATTTCAGTTTATACAAAATTTTCGTAGTGCTTATGCATGCAATCGTTCAATAGTTCCTTTTTTAGTTTTAAAATATATAAAATTGAACGAGAGTTTAGTAAAAATGTACGAACGACAAATTAATACTTACAATTCTTTCACTTCTAAGTTTTGATTTTTAAATATTTCACAATAGCTACAATTCCTTTTAATAATTATAATATTAAATTTTCAATAAAAATTAATGAAACAGAGATCCAAATGATATTTAATAAAATTCACGCTTTAAATATATAAAATGTATAAAATTAATTTGAGATGATAAAGTGTAAACATTACATAATTAGCAATAACTTTTTGAGAAATGTTGTTTTTAATTTTTGCATATTTTATTTGTATATTTCGTTTTCTTTTACGTTGCGAATGAATATTTACTTTTCAAATAATCACAGCGTTGCCCGGAGCAGCATTAACTATAATAAATTTTTAAAAACGATTTCTTTATGTGAACTTTTACAATTTATTTCCAGTTAACTTTACACAAATTATTATTATTTCCATAAAGATAGACTTTTTTTACTATATTCCTTAGTAGTTTTATTTTTTAGTATAAATATTGAAATTCATGACATTTATATCATCTTACCTCTCATTCCTGTAGTTAAAGGTCGGGCGGAAGCTTCACCTTCACTACCACTACTTGCACAAGAACTTTGAGGACTGAGGGGTCCCAACCCAATTAGAGCAGCAACTTCAAATTAAACGAAATTAATATTTTATTAAACAAATATTATAGAGTTACGAGAAAACGAAAAAAAGGAAAATTAAATTTACTGGAATGATCTTCGGAAATACTAAAGCTTCTAGCTTTGTGTCTTGTTGAAATATTTGAGTTTCCACCACCACGCTCAATGACCTCGGGTTGTGATGATACAGGAGGTGTTAAACTATTCGAACGTCGTTGACGACTTGCCGGGAGTTGAAATTGAAAATTAAAAGATGTTCCAGATTGTGCACCGTAACCTTGGTTTATTTGATCATTTTGCTTAATTGTCTTTTGCCATGTTGCGTCCCATCTAAATCACCAAACCAATAATTCTAATAATTAATATATAAATCTTACAAGTATATACAACATATTAGACGAATAAATTGTTAAATTTATATATGCCTCATTTCACGCTAAAATTATTAACGGAAGATAAAATATATGCTCAATGTCTTTACCGAATAGATGTATTATTTGCATATTCTTCAAGATTATGAACTGGTTGCACATTGCTAATTCTATCTTCGAGTTGTCTAAGCCACTGAGTTAGTGCACGTCTATCTTGACTAGTAATAGCTGGATGAATAAGAGTATAGCTAAGAAGTTGCTGCGTTTGTTCTGTATATTGACCAGTAGTTATACAATGACTGATTAGTTCCGGTATTGCTAATAAATAGCATTGTTTACATTCCACGTTTCCTGGTCTTAATAAAGGAAGATGCGTGAGTAGCTGATTAATGGCAACTTCTGTTGTCTCCAATAATAGTGAATTAATAAAAGCTGTAAGGATTATATTTAAAAAATAAAATTAAATTTAATCTTATTATTGATTTTATTGAATTGCTGACAATTTCTTGACGGTATTATATACATATTTTTGAATTTTTAAAATTTTCAAAACACTAAAGGTGTTTTCTATTGCATTTTCTATTGTATTTTCTATAAATTATGCAAAAGTTGATGGAAAATAAATATTTCTTGTCAATATTTTAATAGAACAAATTCACGAATTAGAAAAATAAGAAGAACACCACCGTCATTTAAAAATGTAATTTCATAGTATAGTCTGCGATTATAATACATAACGTGGAATGTTGTATTGTTGTGGGCAACTTTTTCAACTGAATAAGGTATCTAGTTGATTTAGAAACAAGTTTCAATTTTTCAATAAACTTCATAATTTTTTTATGTATTAATACAAAACGTCAAATAATTTATCGTATTAATTATAATTTACCAGGATTATTAGCATTGAGTTCTTGTGAGTCCAGTTCTGAAACTGAGTGCAGAGAATGCTGAACAGCTTGAGCAAGAAAACGAGCTTGAACAGCTGGAATTCGTCTTAATAAGGCATACAGTACAACTGTTTGCTCGCACTCATTCCATTGTGAAAAAACTCTTGTCAATTCGCCCACCTGCTCACAAAAAAGAGCTCCTGGAGACCATTTCATTTTGTACAGTATATCTATAATAATAAAAATCTTCAATATTATATTTTACTGTAATTGAAAATATTAAGGAAAATATTAATATTATTTAATTATATTAATTTCATTTGAAATCTAATAATAATCTTATTTATTGATTATTACAATCGATAGCTTAAGAAATCAATTTAATAAGTCAATATAGTTATAAAATTGGTAATAATTGAAAAAAAAAAATAAACAATTTAAGAAATTCAATTAAATGATAAACAAATATTTTTTCCTTATAATGAACATCAAATATACTATAATAAATAGTATTTAGAAACTATTTTAAATAATTCAAAATAAATACAATCTGATATTTAAAAGAAATCATTGATATTTGCATTAAATAAAAATTATTATTAGATAATATTAGATAATAGATTTCACAAAACATAATTTTCGTATTATTATAAACTATAATATAAATGCTTTGTAAATATATATTGTTGATATATTTAGAAAATGACACTTCTGAAGTATTTCCAAGATATTTTAATTGCTAAGGAAACAATCCTCATCGGTATATGCGAATAATAATCATGTTACATCCGAAAATTCTTAAAACCCAGTCCAACGAACCAGATAGTTGTGTAACAGAACTTACATCAAAACAAGTCAGCCATTCAAACACAACCTAAATAAAATTATTTAAAACATGTGTTCCACATTCAAAGACCTACCAAAAAATCCTCCTCGCTATACTTAAACTGGCTTTTTACGTACATCGGCATTATTAATGAAAAGACGTAGAGTAAATGATAAGCACCTTCCTACCGATTTTAATAAAACCTACTACACGTTCCATCGTTATCAACAGCCGTAACATAAAACCTAAGGTCGCTTTTGGTAGTGGAAACTAGAAATATAACCAGTATTATGCGCACGCATCTGCATGTTTGAAACAGTGATAAAGTATGAGCGGCAAAATCCAAATATAAAAAAGAGAGAAAACTGAGAGAGTATGCTCATAAACTTAAATTTAATGAAACGACGAATATCGGGTGGAGGAGGAGGAGGAGGAGGAGGAGGAGGAGGAGGAGGAGAGGAAGCAAGCAGCATACAAGTTATATTGAAAAAACGAATAAAAATAAAGAACGTAAAGTATAATGTATTTTATTTTATAATGTATTTTATCAAGTATCAGATATACATGATAAAAATGTATAAAAATTATGTATGCAATAAATTTATTTGTAAATGAATTAAGTAAATAATACAAGTTCGTAATATAATGGATTTAGGAAATTAAGAATAAAATGAAATTATGGTTAAGATGATATTAAAACGGATATGATTCAATCGTCGATTCTCACAAAAAATGAACAACTTAACTTTTTAAACTTATTTATATTATTATAATATATATTATAAATAAAAAATCTAACCTAATGTTTAATATATATATATATATATAAGTTTCTAATATTGATCAATTTTGATATTTTGATATTTTTATTTGACATATTTTGATAAGATACAAGATTACCCAATAACTACGTACTAATCACTCTTCCAAATTACATTTCACTTAATGATTTAAATTGGAAAATGCATGGCACATATAATTTATGTATTATACATTTAAGCTTTCGTATCTTACACTTGGTAAAGGAGAAAAAATAATAATAATCTTATAGCAAATCAGATCTTTACATTATAATACTGATTCACTTTTTTTTATACTGCATATGTTAGTTTACAACAAGTGTTATTAATCAAACTAACTACATGTTATTATCAAAATTGTGTTTAATGATATAAAACGTTAAAAAGTTTAAAAGTTGAAAAATCAAGAATACACGCGTAAAAGAAGAAAAATGTCTTTCGTATAGTAAGTTAAATTAACTCATCGTCTCTTGACATTCACAAAGAATGTAGTGTAATGAAAAATACAAAATCACTTGGCAGAAAATTAATAATCAATACTAAACATACTCAATTGTAATTGTATTGCGCAATACATAAATTCATATGCCAAATTTCTAATTTCCCCTTTTATATTAATCGTACAATTCATATTCAATGATTCAATGAAATGATACAGAAAAATGTTTATACTTCATTATTTCACGTGGATGTATGTTTAAATAATTCATGCTATTGTATTGTAATGCTGTTATAATGTATATATATATATTTATTTATTTATTATTTTTTTTTAATAAACTACGATTTCTAATCCTTTCACTTAGATATGTAGAATAGTATACCGGGTTCTTTTTTTAATATTTTTTTCATCTAGATGAATTAATTAAAATTATATAAATATAATTATAAATAAACAATAATGGTTAAAGACGTTAAAGCCTTTACGGATGCTGAATATACTATTAAGATATTTTTCTCCTAGAATTACGTTCTTGCAATGCAAATTGTGACATTGTGTACTAAATTTTTTCCATTATTTTATTATACTTTATTCTACATTTGTGTATGATAAATATATCGAATTAATGATTCGTTACGTAAAAAATTTATCTTTGATTCTAATAATATATTGGCCATTTATAAAATTGCTATTATAATTAACTTATTGATTACAAAAAATTACATTATATTTCTACATTGTTTTAAACAAATTTTATAACAACAAACAAAATAACGTTTCATTAAATACAATGATAAAAATTTCTTAAATATCACAACGAAATTAGCATAAATTGCAGACCATATGTCGACTTCATTTTACGTATTAAGATAAGAAGTTAATTAAAAGAGTCGTTTAAAGCGGCAACTACTTAGAGGTAATAAATTGTTAAAAGTTTATTCTTTATACTAAGAGAAATATCCTTATTTATATAATAAAAAAAAATAATAATAAATAAATAAATAAAAACAATGATTTTACACGTATGCTGGAAAATCATCATGTGGTGATAAAAATTCAAGTAATAACAGATGATCGGTCAGACATAGGTACATTGGCACTGTAACCTATCTTATTCTACTGATTGTTACCAATAAGGATATTCTACAGCGACCTCCAATGCCTCCAATAATTTATGCAAATGATTATTCATAAATAATTGTAAAAAGTAACAAAACTCACGTACATATAGTGCTATGATATAGTATGCCTTTTTTATTTATTTACTTTGTTTTATTCTTTATATATTAATTTATATTCGTCTCGGATTCGTTTTAAAAGTGCAAAAAACAAAAACGCGTAGCTCGAATATCTATCTCTCGCTCTATAGTCCGAATTGATTGGCCAATCAGTAATTTGTTAAAAGTATCTCAAGAATTAATGGCGCACAGGCACCAAGCAACTCTCGACAAAAGTCGTCATGCGAGTAGTCGAATTGACAAAGGGGACAAAACGGCAGTTAAAGCTCTCGACTCCTCTCGCAACCGCTTTTCGCACATTCGAAAAGCCGTCATTGCGAATCGCGGATCGCGCGCGTACACCCACGTCATCCGGTTGCGCACGCACGCGCTCTCTTTTTCTTCTCGGCGAAGTCTCGCGAGGCAACCGTAAGGGTGCTCCGGGAGTCAAATGCGCGTGCGCGAGCACGCACGCACTCACGCACGCACGCACTCACGCACGCACGCACGCACAGACAGGGCGGGGTGGTGGGTAAGAGAGAGAGAGAGAGAGAGAGAGAGAGTGAGAGAGAGTGAGAGAGAGCGAGAGAGTGAGAGAGAGCGAGAGGGGGGGGGGGAGAAAGATTCGCTCTCTCTCTTGACCAGCGCAACGGGCTTCGCATCCGGCAGGGTCAAGTTTGTTTACGGAAAATCGCGAACGCCCAACCCGTGTTCTTTTGGTTTTGAAAAGACGCGAGCGCGAACCTCGTTTCTTATTCCTGTCCCCTTCGTCATTCTTTCTTTCATTTTATTTCTTTTTTCTTCTTTTGTTTTTTATTATTTTTTTTATTAATTTTTTCTCCTCTTCTACTTTATTTATTTTCTCTATTTTGTCTACGGTCTTTCGCATGTGTAAGACGATGTCTGCCGTAGAAAAAAAGGTCGTCGGGAACGGGGGTGGGGAGAATAAAAAGCAAAAGGGAGAAGGAGCGCCGAACTCGCGAAACGTAATAAGGTTGTATATCTATGTACACATATATCGACTGTCTCGAGGACATTTACCTCTTGTGAACCCGCGTGATGGAAGGGGTCGAAAGTTGGAGATGGCAAGGGACGCCCTGTATAGCCGTACTTTGTTTACATATAAGAGACCGCGGACTGAAGTTTCGGCATAACGACATTACTTTTTAATATGGTAAAACACGTATGAGAACGATTTTTCCAAACAAAGCGTCGTGATCCCCAGCCCCTCCTCATTATCATCATCCTCCTCCCCCCATTTTTTACCCTTCCCCATCGCGAAATCCAACATGCAGAGAATACGGGTAGAAGCCGGGTGTGAGTATTTTTTTTTTTTTTTTTTTTAATTTATTTAACGAGACTCGTCGTAGAGATGATAAGTAAAATTTATTGGCTACACCAAGCTGACGATTCACGGGACATTTCGCGTGAAACGAATCAACCAGACTAAAGGTTAAGCTTTTGGCAAGCGAACATTTGGCAAACCGGCGAACCGGACTAGGTGTTAAAAGAGAATCGGCCATTGCCGCTACGTACGAAACAAAAAGTTGCCGTACTTATCGGGAGCGACTAGACGCCGAATGAAAAGCAAGAAATAGAGAGTGCAAGCGTTGTCCGAGCGCTCGCGCACACCCATGGCAAAAACAAAAAACAAAAAAAAACAAAAACAAAAACAAAAAAAAGTAACAGCAGTAACAGCAACAGCAGCAGCAGCAGCCACGCGTGAACTCAAAATAAACAAAAGCGACCGCTTAGACGGGAGCTTGCGAAACATCCCGTGCCGACTAATGCTGCATCTCGGCGATAATAATTCAATGAGAGAGAGAGAGAGAGAGAGAGAGAGAGAGATTGAGAGTGAGAGTGAATGAGTGAATGAGTGATAAAGAGAGAGAGAGAGAGAGAGAGAGAGAGAGAGAGAGAGAGAAAGAGAGAGAGAGAAAGGCCATCGCAGGATGAAATGCAGGGAATGCGCAATTGTGAATGTGTGTACGGGCGCTACAACGTGTAAGCGAGTAGTTGAGTTCGGGGCAGCCTACCTGAGGGGGCGTGTAACGTGCGAGCCGGCGCCGAGGAAAGGACTCTTTCTGCTCTCCCCGAGGCTTCTCACCAGATAAAAAACACGCACACACTCGATCACGGACCGATGAACGAGACGTTGCCAACCGCAGTATCTAACTCTCCGCTGTACAGCGCGTACTTCGGCGTCGGCTCTACGCTCTTTGGTTCGCGATAGCTGGACGTTTGTGTGCGCGCGCGCGTGTGTTTGCGCGTGTTCAAGTATACAATCGCATGCGCGCGCGCGCGCGCCCACAATAATCCCGTACGCGCGAGCGAAATAGAGTGTGCATGTGTGCAAGAGGGAGATAGAGAGAGAGAGAGAGAGAGAGAGAGAGAGAGAGAGAGAGTGAGTGAGAGAGAGAGAGAGCGAGGGAGATACGGCGTATTAGTAGCGATGGGTGGTTGACGAAGAAGAGAGAAACGCCGGAACGCACTCTGAAGGAGAGAGAAAGAGTGAGGTTAGGTACGTAAGGTGGGGGGCTTTCAAAGGGCAATGAAACCATCGGAGTGCCTCTGTCCTTCTTTAGTTCTCTATCTATCCATCTCTGTCTCTTTCGCATACTCTCTCTCTCTCTCTCTCTCTCTCTCTCTACACACATCCCTCGCTCCCACCCTCTCCCACTACCTCTCACCGGGGCTATAGTTGAAGCGGCGTTTTCGGCGCGCCGACTATTTTTCTCCTTCGCTCTGGTTTCTTTCTCCCTGCTCTCTTTCTCATTCTGTCTCTCGCCATCTACCGCCCCCCCGCCCCGCCTCCCGCCACGCCTCCCCATCCCTCCGCCCTCCCGCCACCGACGACATCGCAAACCTACCCATCGGCACCGCGTATTCCAACAATGTTGTTATTACAAAACGTCGTGTTATTCGATGCGGTCAAGTGCACACTTTCCGACGATCGCTGCACCTACTGATAATGCGAATTAAGATGAATTTCATCAATTGCTTGGACGTTTTCACCCATCTACACTAGCGCGAGAGTGATTTCTTATATATTGTTTTTGACGTATCGTTTTGCCGAGGAAGCAATTTGCCAATATGGGCAGAGCCCCTCGAGAACGATCGACCATCGCTCGATTAGCAGTCGTTTAATTTTTAAGACGATATTATCCGAGGCGAAAGTCTCAGACAATTTACATGGCAATTTCGTAGCAGATCGAATCGATTAATGCCCACTCCGCACTCATACACAGAACCCCAACATCACTATGAGAAAAGAGCGATTGTAAAATATTTGCAAGACAACTGGTTTATTTAATCTTGAATGGCAAAAAGCCCATTTGCTGCTGCTACTACTACTACTACTACTAATACTACTACTACTACTACTATTACTACTACTATTACTATTACAACTACTACTATTACTATTACTATTACTACTACTACTTGTCCATCGCTCGATACCAGCATTCGAGCCCAAAGTCAAGGATGCCATAGAATAATCATGCAACAACAGACACGCGAGAAAGTCAATGGCGAGTAAATTAAACAGCAAAGAGCTATTGTCCTTTAAATAGCTAAGGAAGCGCGATGAGGCAGCAGCTAAAGGCTCTTAGAGGCCCCTTCTACACTGCCACTTTGCAAACGGCACAAGCTTTCGGAGCCACGACATATCCAATTTATCCAAGCCCGCCTTGGGACTCGTAGGCGAGCGTCATCGCCAAGAGTCACGGGGCGATCGTCGGTTGCGGCATTAATGGAAAGAAAAAGGAAATTGGCCGCGAGATTGCAAGAATGCTCAGCAAGGACGGTCGGTCATCGGTGTCATTTTGACTTTTAGATTGTAAGACAACAGCCAGCCGGGTGATATGAAATCATTTATCCTGAACGTTTGTTCGGCCATTTGCGCGCGCGCGCAGCGTACATCATCGCCTCGCCACCCAATGTCGCGCCTGTCTTTCTCATATTTTCTTTCTTTTGGCGAGGAGGCGACGATACCGCGGTTCCCCGTGTATCCCTCCTGGCCATTCATCCCTCTTTTCACCCGCACTTACCGCCTACTCGCGCATTCTCATCTACGAGGACGAATTTAATGCAACTGACTTACATTGTGTCCTGATCGAGCGACTCGACGACGGCCCACGGCGAGGGGGAGACAGGAACCGAACAGGGAAAGCTTCCTCGCTTCCGACGTCGTCCTCGGCGGCGGTTGCTGCTGCAACGCCGTCGTGGCCGGCTAACGTCTCCTCCCTATCAACTTGCGCTCGTGTCCGTTGTAACGCTAAGCCGTGCACACCAGAGAACCGCTAGTACAACATCTTCGAGCATCGGCTCAAGCTCACTACTCTCTCTCTCTCTCTCTCTCTCTCTCTCTCTCACGTTCACACGCTCTCTATTACTCTCTTTCTTTACTCCGCATATGTGCGCGCGCGACAGTCTACCTTTCCGTCTCCAGAGAGCGCACCCTATACACGCGATGGAGAGTAAAACTCCTGCGCGAATAATAGAATACGTAGTGGTAAATTGTTGTAGGATGATGTTAATGAGAGAGAGTGAGAGAGAGAGAGAGAGAGTGCGCGCGCGCGTGTGTATTTGCGAGTGACTGAGTGAGTGTGTGAGTGAGTGAGAGAGAGAGAGAGAGAGAGAGAAAGTGGTCGTCGTGATGTTACGCGCGTCGCCGATTACTCTGGACATGGCACGTATCATCTTCTCCTGTCGCTTATTCATTATTCATTATTCATTCGCTTATACGCGACCGAGAGTCTTAAATCTTATCCAATAGTTAAGTATAAACACGATTGGGGATAAACGAGGAGGTTATTATTGCTTACCGGCGCGTAACCTCGATTTATGACCGATGCATAATAATTATCAATCGACTTGTCCTTAAAGCTACGATGAAATAAATCAACGCGAGGACGCGCGCACCTGCACGAGAGAAACAAAAAAAAATAAATGTATAAACTATATTTTGGATAAATCAACGTATTGCCAATAATAATAATAATAATGATGACGATGATACGATGTGCGATATTATGTTTCGAGGGACTTTGTTTTTTCCCAATCCTCGATTGATTAATAGAATCTTCGTAATTATTTGCTGTTGACGAAACGAATTTCTGAAAAACTTGGAATAATAGAATAAGCCATCCGTTCGGATAAACGATCATTTTCACTTAGCATAGCTTATATATTATGCGATTCGATTGACATTCGAAATAAAGCGCATTATAATGAATAAACGGTCATCGAATTTTAAACCAACGATCTCAAAATCACTATTATTTAATTACTATTGCGTAGTTTGACAATTGACCATTAATTTACGGCTTATAAGACCAAATATTTTCAAACAGCAGCATATTAATGACTACGTTATATCATTTAGGGATACTTAAGTACAAGAACGATAGCCTCGTTTATATTAAGAAATAATTTCTTTCATTATGCCACCTCTCAATGTATAATAAATTATAATTATAAATGCTGGCGATTTTACATTACTCTTTGCTTATCCAAACATTTCATTTGACTGGATATATTCTACGCTTCACGACTATTACTATTCTTACATCATTATTGTATCCTCGTCTTTTCACGCGTAAGTTTCGTAAATCAAATGTATAATTTTGATATTCTCAGCTACTTTGTCAATTTCTCAAGCACACGTCATAGATCTAGCCATTGATTAATAATAAAAAGCATCGATGAGATTTAATCGACATAGTATTTCCAATGAAATAACGATCTTCCTATGGCTACATTATGAACAAAAAAAAAAAAATATCGACGTTAAAATCTGTTGTTGTTTTCTTTTTTTTTTTTTTTTTGTTCCGATAAGTTTGGTATCAAAGTGAATTTTGAGTAAAAAATCGTTTAAATATTTGTATCGTAAAGATGCAATGATAACATAAATTTCGTATTAATAAAGAACGCGTGCCAAGTCCGAATTTCAATACTCTTCCTCGTTCGTTAAAATACGAAAAATTTTATATTATAAATATCAATATCGATACACGTGAAAAAGTTCTCTTTATATTTTTATTAATAATATATGCAAATACATAATTATAATTTTATAAATAATTATTAAAAATTTACATATTATTTTATATCTTTTAGCGTTATAATACACCCATGCAATTGTAAGCGATTACTTGTATATTCGTTTACAATTATTTATATACTTTTTTTTCTTTCAATTTTACGTATTTCCTATTTATTTACAAAATTATAAAAATAATGTTATAATTTAACAATCAATTATTTCATGAATTTTAAAATAATATTCTTAATCAAAATAACCTTTCATTATTATTAATTTTTTATATTACTATATATATATATATATATATATATATATATTTATAGTTAATGTATATATTCTTGTGTAATCATTATCTCGTCGTTTATACAATCGGTTTGTTTACTACTACGCTTATAAAAATATACTCGCATTTATAAAAACCCACGCGTAAAACTTCATGTATTGTGTGTGTATGTGCGTGCGTGCGCGTGTATATATATATATATATATATTATAAATTAAAAAGCAATTTTCGATTCAGAGTTTATCAATAACTCATCGACCATTTTAATTCTTGTTTCTAATAATTCAAATTGCTCTTTAGGTAACAAGTTTTCGTTAATATTTTTAAGCAGGAAATAATTAATAAAAAGTCTTAAGCCATCCCGAAATTCGTGTAATTTTGTGGCAACTGAAATTCTTTCAAAAACACAAACACACTTCTCAGTGTCTTGATGAAGTAAAATATCGAGCATTATTTTTTTGAAGAACTTCATTGTTAATTTATCCAATTCTCCGAAATCAATGACCTATTAATTAGATAATATATAGTAAAACGTGATTTACAATTAAATAAATAAATAAATGTCGATTGAATGTGATTACTTTTAAAACTGATATGGGTAAAGCTTTGTGCAAAAATAGATGAGACATCAATCTTGCAAGACATATCACTTGCTTATTGTTATAACTATTTAACATTTTTAACTTATCCCACAATGTGTACTGCATAATCATCTGAAAGAAAAAATAAGAATAATTGTATACTCTACATGTTTATATGAATTTATATTATAAATTGTTTTATTCACTTGATATTTCCTATCGTATTCACAAAATTTCTGTATCAAAACGGAATAGTAAGGATTAAAAGTGCGTTCTTGTAACAAACAATTTAAAATAACGTATATTATCTCTCTTTCTTGCTGATCTTTTAGTCCTAAATGGTGTAATTTTTCAAATGCATCTAAATAATCTTCGGCTGTCATAAGAATGCAGAAAATATTCTTCCTTATATCCGTGTTCATTCGTTGAGCTTGTGCTAAATTAAGGATTTTTTGGCTGTACACGGGCTTATTGTCATTGGGTTTAATAATTACCTTTTCATTAGGAACTAATTTACCAGACCAAGCTGAACCAACGACCCACCATTTACCTTTTTCATCCACTGCCATAAAAGTGCATTAAAAGAATTATGAAATTAATGAAAACGTTAATCTTCATTTAATTATGAAAAACTGGTCTATTATTTTTTTAATATATTTAGTCAAATGTAATTTTTACTAACAAAATATACGTACCATTTAGTAAATCTTCAAGCGAAAGATTTAATTGCGAAATAGTATTTCCTTTTCTAATTAAGGTTTTCAAAAGTTTTTTTAAATGATCGATGTGACTTTGATCATATTGTGGAATTTTATTCGTATTATTATTCTTAATAGCTAATAAGATCTCTAACATAAACTGCACCCTTGAACTACATACATATTAACATTAGTATTGCAATTTATTAATTAATTGAAAACAAATTTATCTTTGACAATTAAAACGAATCAGGTATATTATATGTATATTAAGCTTTTTTTAATCTATTTACATTGTATATCTACAAAAATAAAAAAAAAAAAATATTTTGTCCATCTATTTTTAATCTTCGGATCTTAGAATTTGTAAATAATAGTAATTGTAAGAAAAAATCTTTATTGTACGATTGTTTTAATGCCAATATATTATTTTACTTGGTTGCTTTTACTCCAGCTGCTTTTTGTTGTAGATTTAAAATTAATTCTTTCAATGACACGGGATCGTCTTTTCTCAATCTAAATCCTGTAGTTCTTAAAAATAACAGAATTAATTCAATTTCTTTTTCTGTAAATTTATTTGCTAAGTATTCCAAAATTTGATATACGAGTTGGGATCCGAATACCTATAGTTAAAATTATAAAAAATATTCAACCAACTTAATTAATAAATTACTGGGTAAAATGATTTGGAGCCACAAAAAAAGTCCTTATTATAAATTAATTGAGCTAAGTGATTACATTATGATAATTAGTGTGTTTATTTAGATGTGTTAAATAAAAGTATACTGAAGAGAAATTCTTTAAACTTATTAAATTAAAAACATCCTATGCAGACATGCAATAAATTTTAAGTACGTGTTAGATCGTAGAATGTCCGGCATCTTATTCTTTGTCGTAAAAATACTTTTTTTGTGAGCTTGTATAATAAATGTTTATATAAATGTATACAAATTGAAATAAAGATATACAAATGTAGTTAGTTAATATATATATATATATATATATATATATATATATATATACATTACCTTAAAATTATATAAATGGGCCATCATTAAACATACATTATCAAGTTCTTTGTTTTCTACTTCTAGTGGTTCTTGTATCATTTTATTAAATGTTTGAATGAAACTCATAATAAAATGAGCTCCAATTTCAGTACCAATATTAGCATGAAGTATTGCAATGCACATCATATGTTCGATGACAAGTCGCTCTGCTGTTAATATAGGAGCGACGATAGATTCTAGCATTATATTGGAAAGCATTTCATTCATAGTGTTTCTACTATTACTCATATATAACTCATCCAACTGCAATAATCGTGAAATTATATTTTTGAAAAGTATTAAAATAGGTACAAACTTACTTGGGACACAATCACATGCATATTACTCTCCGCTAATCTATTCAAAAGACCTTTGATTTGCCTTTTTAAAAGCATTAATTGTTTACTTTTTTCTGCATTATCAGAATCGTTAGACCTCAAAGCAGGCAAAATATATTTTTGCTTTTTCTCTGATATTATGGAGCCATCTTTGTTTCTTTTTCTACCATAAATATCCTCCCATACTCCCTCTTTGTCTTCATCATCGATTTCTTCATTTGCATCCATTGAATTCAAATTTGTTTCTAAAACATCAGAATTTGACTTATCAATCGATGAATCGATATCAGCTTTACCAGTTTTCTTTTCAAATGAATTCTTGCTAGGTGTTTTCTTTTTTTTGACAGTAATATTTTTTAAATTAATCGAATCTTTTTCTTTATCACATTTCTTTCTTTTCACTGCAAACTTTGTGTCAATACTATCGTTAAAATTATCGTTACTGCTTGCAGTTTCATGATTGGATCGATAACTTGTACAAACATCATATTTATTTTGTCTCAAATTTTGCTTATTATTTATATCATCATCAACGCTGGTATAATTAATATCGCTCTCGTTGCCATTATCAGATGACAATTCTGTAAGATTTTCACTATCCGACATACTTTCTGTTTGTTCGCAGTCATGATCTTTGCTTTTACTTTTGGATTTAATTACATTATTTGTATTAGAATCGTTATCGCAATTTTTATATTCATTGGTTTCCAACAATTTTCTTTCGCCATCCGCAACAATCTTTCTATTTTCTTCATCGCAAATATCCAAAAGATCTATATATTTATATTAAGTAAAATAAATAAATTATATTCTTATTAATATGCATTTCGATCTTGTAGTAAAATTACGTACATTTTTGTATTTTTAATCAAAATATCGATCGATATAATGTTAATAGATATTGAATAAAATATTACATTAAAGGATACAATCTAGTCCATCGGACACAAAAGACTTGGGTACACATTTGGTCTTCCTGTTAATTTTCAATTTCTTTTCCAGTTTTTTAATAACCCTGTCTTCCACAAGGTTATCTTTTTTCCACTTTAATTTTCGTTTTTTGTTAATGTATTTCTCTTTTTTATTCATTGTGTAATTAAAAAAAAAAAAAAAATTTATCTCTAATCGAATATGTTAATTATAATTTTTAAAATTATATACTTAGCATTATATAATTTAATTGTAAACATAGAAGTCAATTATTTTGAGGTTAAAATATTTAATTCTGCGATACGGATAAATTCTATTGTCTATACTAACGAAACTCTCGATTTATTACATTAATCAGCCATCTTTACATTCAGTTAAATAAATGTACAAGCATACGCGCAGAGCAACATTTATTAAATCCGTAACGACTGAATTGATAATGTGCAATATTGTTGTGAAAGTTGAAGTTATTGAATCACATGGAAGCGAGGAAAATGGTGATTTACTAGGGGAAAAAACTCTTCATTTATCATTTATAGGGTTGGCTTTTAAATCTTTTTAATACGAATAATTTTATTATTAAACGCAGGAGTAAGAAAGGAAGGAGACTAGTACTATACATACTTATTATAATTGTAAAGTAGTATTTTTTTTTTTGGAAAAAAATTATGAATATTCATTCTGTAAATAATAAGAAGCAATTGTAATGAAAAAGAAAATAATGCATGTGTTTATGTATCAAACATTATATATATTAACGGTCTGCAGTGTTGAAATTTGGGAATGTTGAGAAATTTGGGGTATATATACGATTTGGAAATCAGTCACTTAGCGATTAATTTGCCTATGAAGGCAAACAACGTCAGATTAAAACAAATTACGCACATTTTACGTTCAGCTGATTCTGTAAATGAAAAATTGTGGATGGATTACAATTCATGCATAATATTAATTATATGTTTTTTCGAATAAATATCGTTGTCATATATTAGCATATTTTTGAATTGGAATCGTATAATTATATTAGGTACAGTAGTTTTGATAAATACTTTTGGAATCTCCCAAGCTTAACACACCATACCATATATTTTGGCAAATACATGATTTATTTCGTATTACATGAAAAACATTAATCCGTTTTCTGTATTAATTTTCATATTAATAAATATTAATTTACATACTTCTTTCTTATTTGTTGTTTAACATTGAAAATATTAACCTTTTCCAAAATCAGATAAATTTATAACAATCAGGATAATCGAGTAAATACCCTATGTAAATAATTTTTTTGTCATTTTGTTCAATACACTTTATTAGAGAAAAGGAAATATTTTCTAACAGTGACTAATTTCTAGCATTTCTGATTTCAGTTATTAAAACATACGTTCACATGCACGTGCATTTCAACTGAGACGTCGATGTACGTTTATTTGCATTGGTATTTTGTGGAAGTATGATGTAATTGCAATAAGGAAATGGAGATGCCAGGCATTTTTACATAGGCACTCTAATTCAAACGTTGCAAGCTCAGCTTCCAACTTCCCTTCCCACCTGTCAGAAGAAAGGCGAAGTTACGAAAAACAGCCCCAGTGTTTCTGTGTTCTGTTTTCTATTCATAAGTTGCACATTCTTCTTCCATGTTGATCAATTCATGTGAATAAATGTAATAAATGTAAATAACAAATTATTATTGTTTTTGGAGAGCTTTTGTTTGATAAGATGAGAAAAAATCTGTACACATTTTAATGGTCGATTAATAACATATTCCATGCCTTTTTAATAATAAAAAATATTTTGATATTTTGATTAGAATCTGTAGTTTTTTGTTGAAATTCCTCTATTTAAATTTTCTCTCTCTCTCTCTCTCTCTCTCTCTCTCTCTCTCTCTCTGTGTCAACGACGATTTAAAACAAGCGCGTATACAATAACCAATTGACAGAAAGCTCTCGTTGCGCAGAATCTATAAAATTCTTAAACTCTCTTTAACTTCTTTCTTATCAATTCGCAAACTGTATGACAATAGATTATCAAAAGATATATAATGCGAAGTTCTTTAAATATCAATGTCCAAGATGGTATATATGAGGAGTAAAGTTTAAAGATTCGAATCATTGTTGTGTGGATTAACGTACATACGACAGTTGGAAACGAACTGAGAATTACCGAGAAGTAGAACATTGTCAGGATGTCTGCCCAGCCAATTTTAAATCCAGTTCGTATTAGAGAAATTGCATTTTAATTTAAGTTAGATTTGAAATATTAACCGCGTCGACATAATATGCTGCGCAAAAAGGATTTTTATTTTAAATTACGAAATCCAGAGATTAGCGTTATAATAGAAAATGGAATTATTTATTAAGTTTTAGGACATTTAAATTGTAATGAATATTACTTTGTTCATTTTTTTTTTTCAAGGAATTGCCTTATGTTGGAGAGGTAGAAGATGGCTTGACACCAGGAAAAATGGTGAAGGTTCAAGGCAAAGTTCCTCCCGAATCTACACGCTTTGCCATTAATTATCAATTGGGTCCTACTTTGAATCCAAGGGATGATATTGCATTGCACGTTTCACCACGTTTTCACGATGGGTTTGTTACAAGAAATCACATTAAATCGATGACCTGGGGTCCTGAAGAAAATGAAGGGCCAATGTGGATTCAGCCGGGGACAGATTTTGAAATTATTATATTATGTGAATACGAATGTTACAAAATTGCTATAAATGGAAGACATTTTACCGAATTTGCTCACAGATTGCCTTATAGTCAAGTAACGCACTTGGTAATTGATGGGGAAGTCGAAGTAACTGCTATATTTTTTGAAACTATTCCAGTTGGTCCTAAACCAACTGCTCCGTTATCGGATGAGACTGACATAGCTGTCGGCCCCCCTCGTGAGTAACTTTAAATATTTTATATAAATAACGTATAAAAATGTATTTTGTATTAATATTTTAATCCTTAATGTTATTAAATTTTTTTTATTGTAATTGTGCCGCAGCTCCTGGACATATTTATCCAATGTTATATCCGCATGGTAGACCAAGAGAAGATGCTCCATCGAATCCAAATGATTATAAAAATCATCCACCTCGTCGCTATGAGGAGGAACCCGAAGATGCTATGGGTGATTGTTTGGATAAAGTTGGTTTGGCAGTAGGAGGACTAGTTGCCGCGGGTGGTGTTGCCGCTGCATTACACGCAATGAATGTAACTACAAAATTAGTCAACTTTTCGCCTAAATAACACACGCATACTTTATTAAAAAATAAATATAATTTATTTAGAAGAATAAAAACAAACATTCTGATGAGCCTAGTCATGAAAAAAGTGAATCTACGCAGAATGAAAGTGGATTGGGTGGATTAGGTGCTCTGGGTGCAGCTTTAGCCAGCAGTTTAGCATCTAATGCTTTAATGGGAGATAGAGCATTACATGCGCAACAAGGTTATCCTCCACAAGAATCCAATATGTTAGGATCTATTCTTGGAGCTTTAGGTAAAAATATTTATAAATAGCTCAATATTCTTCGATTCTATGCCAAATATTTTATATCTTTTTACTAAATTTAATATAAATAGCTCATCGTCTATTTTTAATTTTAATATAGAATTTTCTGTCATCGTTATAATTGGCCTTAATTTAAACAATCATTAGTTTAAAAAATAAAAATTTTTTAAAGTATCATTAATAATAATTATATCGCATAAAACTGACAATATAGTAAATTAAAAACTTCCGTTTCAGGAAATGTATGTGACATCATACAATAAAATCTGCCATTACTGTGAAGATTGTTCTTAATAGTTAATTAACGAATACGTGAAATCTGAAATAATGTAGTAATCTTAAGTGTTGTAAAATATCTGTTTTAATATAACGAGCATCTCTGACATGTATATTCCGTGTATGGTAAAATTTGAAAAGCGTGCTACTGAAATTAATTTCAATAAAAATAGAAAACTAATCGATCAAAGAATAATAAGAGAATTAGAAACTAAAATTTATATCTTAATTATGCTTTTTCGTTACATTATCTAATATTTAATAATTCAATATATAATGCTCAGTTGTTTTCCAATGTTAAGATTAGCAGCAACACAATTTATAATTATCAACACTTGTTTGAAATTGTTTTAATCAATTTTCATTTTCACTAAGCTAATTCAACCGTGAAATAAAAAAACATCAAATAACTAATTTCAAATTTGGTTTTATTTTATTACTGTTGTCGCACATCATTATAATAGAAGTTTGATATTAATAAACTGACTTATTAGATTATAATGGTATATCGTTTAATTAAGATATTTATTTTCATGTTAATCTAAATAAAATGATTTTTCATAAATTCTTTTAAGGAGGTAATCAGTCGGGTTATCAACAACCTGCAAATGATCCATTGGGTGGGACATTGGGTTCCATTCTTGGTGGAGTTCTTGGAGGTGGTGGTCATCAACAACAGCCTCAATATCAACCTTCGGGAGGCTATAATAATTATCCTCAGAATCAAAATTCTCAAGGCAACGATCTTCTTAGTGGAATAGGTGGTGCTCTCTTTAAAACAGCTATGGATGGTTTATCTAAACGTGTAAGTTTCAAAGTTAAAAAAGATATAACTAGCAAGTCTTCGCAGGCAACCAAAAAATTATAACCAAACTTATAAGATGATTAATTATAACCAACTCCATTTACTGACACGATTATTTAATTGCCACTTTTATCAGTAATTATTTATTGTTTTTATTTATAATTTTTATTTGTATTGTTTTTTTAATATATGCCTTTCAACTACGCTTACATGTAGATTACAAGCTGTTTATGTTAATTATTTTTATATTTATTTATTTATTTATAATATAAATCTCTATTTGTTATTTTATTATATTGAAAATGTATGTTAAGAGAAATTTTCTTTGTTTATTTTAATTTTTTGTTGCATATATGTAATTAATAAAACTGTTTCGTTGTTGTTGATTTTTTTTCTTTTTTTTTAAACAAAAATTATCCAAAATGCATTCTTTCTTCATCTTTTTGAAAATTAAATTTATTAACATTACTGTCACAAGATAATTTATTCTGATTAAGGATGATAAGTAAGAGGAAACAAGTTTTGGCTCAAGTCTAAGCAATGTGTTGAATATAAACAATCCACATTCTCCACACATATAAGGTATAACTTACGTAAAGCACATTAAATTGCATACAAAGCTTAATAACATTATTTCTAGTTATGAAAAAATATATTAACATTAAAAATTGTTTATGGATTTTAAGTCTTCGGGTTGAAATTAATAAATTCGTTTAATATTATTACAAAGGATATTTAATAATATTATATGTAATAGTAGGCATTTTGGTTTATGTTTAATAATATAAGCTTATTTTTAATACATTTTTTTTTTTTTCTTTACTGTAAATAATTTCATCAAATCAAAGAGATAAAATTAATTATGCCATAGCTACTTGAAATACATGTGAAAATACTTGAAACGTATTTTAAGATTTATTTATCTTATTCTAATTTTATAATCAATCAGAATTACTTATGTTAATAAAAAGTAGAATAATTGAGAAATTGATTAATCAGTAAAATACTAATATGATAAACAATTAAATTAACAATATATCTTTCTAATGATTAAAAGTACTATTTTTAATAAATTAACATAGTTTAAGCTGTTGATGTCAGAATATATAGTTTGTGTAATTTGAAAGTATATTTGCCTATAGAAATTTCAACAAAATATTTCATGAATTTTATTAGGATTAAAGTTACCAACTACATCTTGCGCATATATGTAATATTTTGTACGACATTGTTTATAATTTTAATTGAACTGTATTATGTATTTATACTGTCTATTTTCAATATATCACAATCTCGTAATAAGCTTCAATCAACCTATTAAGAATAATTGTTAAAAATATTTGCTGTATTAAGAATTAAATTATTTTAAATGCAAGATTATTTTTATAAACTATTTTATACACAAAAAATTAATTTTGTAAAATATTTAGTCAATCCGAAAAACTATTCAGTTAATATATTTATTTATTAATAAATATTTGCAACTTATGAATAATACATTGGCTTCTACGATATAACAGCTTTAATATTTGAATTTACATAATCCAAATTTCAAAAATTACTTTTCTCATTGGTGTTTTGTATATGCACAAATTTCTTTGACATTACATTTTTTTGCTTCAATGTGGTTGCTGTTTTTTTTTAATTTATACTTTTCTTCTTAAACACGAAACGACACTGGCTTATTAATAAATACACGTAAAATACTGATTATTATTAACTGATAAAACTTATTATACAAAGTTTTAATCATTCTAATAAATTGAAAAACGTAATAAAATAAAGATGCACAAATCATTCTTATACAATACTTAAATTACCGTTAAAATTTTTTAATTAACTATTAAGATCTTTTAAAGTCGTAATGTATTTTAGAAAATTGTATATTTTTATTGACCGTTATTTTGTTTTTATAAAAATTTTATGAAAAAAAATCTTCAATATTAATTGCTATAATAAAATATTTTTTTATAATTGTCTCTTATAACTAACTGCCTTGTCTATTTTGTAGAATAAATGAACTTTAAAAAAAAAAAAAAAAATCATATTTTAAAATAATTTTACATGAATAAAAATTAAAACGTGTAATATATAATAGGAATATATATTTTTTTTTAATTTACATAAAACTAAGCATAAAAATCTAAAAATTCTAACTTAACAAATTATGATTTGTTTAACCTAAGATCATATGCTATCGATTTTCTATCTTTAGCTGCATTCATTATAGTTTTCGCTGATCGTTATTTCTGTACTATTACTTTAATACACGAAATATCAATTGTATAATATTTCTATTATCAAATATGTCATATTATTCATTGATAAAATAAGATAAAATATTTTCCTATTTATTATTTTTGATGGACTTAATGTTTATGAAATTATGTAATAAAATTTATATGTTGCACGATATACGATTATTTTAAATTATTTCAAAATTTCAAATTCAATTTCAGAAATACGTTGTAAATAATATTATCTAATATTAATATTATTTAATAATAAATACACCAACTGAATTTTTATATTATGAATTTGAAAGATTTAAAATATTAATATTAATATTCTAAAAGCCATTAAGTATCACACACACACACACACACACACGCACACACACACACGCACACACACAAACAAACAAACAAACAAACAAACAAACAAACAAACAAACAAATACACAAACACACAAATGCAAGAATTTGTATTTGAATGTTTCTCAAATTATTAAAATAATTAAAATTATTATTATAAACTTTTGTCCATTATTTTTCTATATAATAAGGAAGATGTTAATATCGAAACTTAAAAGTTTTTAAAAATGATATTGTTTCTTTTACACATAATAAGCAATTGTTATCAGTATATTTCAGTGTATTTCAGTGTTATAAAAATTAATTTATGCATAATAATTTGCTTAAATCTAATAAATTAAAAATTCGTATTATATAATTTCCTAACAATTTAAATCATTAATCGTATTTTTATTAAAATTTGGTAAATTAATTTAAATCTTATATATATATATATATATATATATATATATATATGGATTATAAAATTGTTAAAACTACATCCTAATGTAACATCGCATATTAAATATTGCTGAATATTTTATAAATTATTGGATGAAAGAGATTCAAACGACTTTGCTACTAAATTAAAATCTACGAGTATTTACAATTGGATAAAACAGAATTGTAGCACATATGAAATGAAATATGGTAAATTTGATATAAAAACTGGAATGTAACATAAGTAATGAAACTCCCAAAGCATTAATCACGAGAGATTGATTATCTATATTTATTATGTATGCCTAGCGAGAATCTTGTATAGGTCTCGTCAAGCTATTCCAACGAAATCACAAACATCTTAGAATCTTGTAATATATGTAACCATATCACAATTATATCCAATACGCACCTCTTAGTGTTTAATATCTGCTCTTATAAAAATTGACTATTTTGCATTGTTTCTTTGTCAGTCTCATAGATCCCATCAAAATCACGAAGACAGTAATGTCCCCTATAACTCTGCACCACAGCCTTCCGTTAATTATGGCAGCCATGATAGTAATGTACAGCAATCACATGCGTCACCAGCAGTTTCCAAGGGCGAGCGACTTACTGCCGCCGAAATCAGTAGAGGACTCGGACTCAGCGATGACGAGGAATAGAAAATATATAATTACATCAAACCAGCAGCGATTTTAATTCACATTTTCTTGTAATAATCAATCGTTAAATTCTGAATGTCCGTGAGATGGGAAATTAACGATTTTGCTTAGGAAACTTAGCTTTGTTAAAGTGTACGATATTGTTAAGGTAAAAGTACCAATAATTGTCCGTTTAATCGCTGAATGGGCAAATAATTTTTATGCAACGATTGCTTAATGATTGTTAGGCTGGAGAATAAATGAAAATTTTCCAGACCATATAGCTTTTTATGAATATATTTTATTAATGCATTTTTATAAAGTAATGTAGCATTGCGAATTTGTAGATATATTTAAAAGTTTTAAGGAGAATAGTTTTCAAAAACTTTACAAATATTTAATGGTCTATAAATTTACAAACCCACGGGTAATATCGTAAGGTTTAAAGTTATGTATTTATTAATATGTTTCTTATTATTTATTTGCTTCTTTCTCTCTCTCTCTCTCTCTTTCTCTCTCTCTCTCTCTCTCTCTCTCTCTCTCTCTCTCTCTCTCTCTCTCTCTCTCTCTCTCTCTCTCTCTCTCTATCTATCTATCTATCTATCTATCTTTCTCTTAAAAATCTTGACAAGTACTTACAGATAATCAAGATTCAGAAATTTTTTTATCCGCCGAGAAAAGTTTAAGGATGTAAAATCTTTTCTTTTCTTTTTTTTTTTTTTTTTTATGAACCGAGAGTATAAAGAATTAAATATTTATTTCGTCTACAGAAATAGAATCCTCCCCTCCCCCCGTCCCATTTACAGAATCAATTTAATTAATTTTCTTATATCAAAGAATAATCATTGCAGACATCGAAAATGCTTGTGTGAATTGTGAAAAGTGTCCTTAAATATTATCTTAATGTGCTTTATTTTGCTCTTGTTTTTAACAAGACAATGACACATTATTTTATTTGCGTTCTTCTTATAAACGTTTAAATATGCAAAAATTTCTAATCATCATTCTATATAATTGAGTGCAGAAGAGTGTTATATACGCAATTAAACCAATCTATGAATATCTCAAAAAAAATGATATATAATTTTTTTTTTTTTTAATATACGTCATCGTTTCAATATTATCAATGACTATTGTTTCTCTTTTTTTCCTCTCTCTCTCTCTCTCTCTCTCTCTCCTTTTTTATGTCTTTAAAAAAATGATAAATGGCCTAGTTCCTACCCAACGAAATCACAATCATTTGTATTAATTTAAGAAACAATACTTTTTAATAATTTTCTTTGTTAACGAACGGTGTTTTACGCAATTAGGTGTATATACGATGCAGGCAATTTTACTTTATTAAAAGAAAAAAACTATTTCTCTTACTGTTTGTTTCAAGCAATTATTAATTAAAGTGATATTCTTATATAATTTTCTATGAGAATTAAAGTAAACAATTGGATAATCGTGTCGCGAGCGACGCTACTCGGATACAAGAAAGAGCTAGACACTGGGAAGAAGTGGGAGAGTAGAATAATGATGTTTTTGACCTTTGCATCACAGCATCAAATTATTATGCAGCAATCATCGGACAGGGACAATGCAACGACGTATTGCGACAAGCGGGAACTCTTTCATTCAACGATCCACAGCATCTTCGAACTCAGGCTGCCACGAGCAGTCCATAAAGGACATCCTCTCGACGATATCACTTCCGCTGACCTGGTGAGGCCATTTACAATCCAGGTCAATTTCAATTATTCTCCCTCTATGCCGAAGATCAATCTGAATGCTGCAAGAGTTTGCGAAGGTGGGGAAGGAGCGTCGAGTAGATGAGAATTTCGTACGCGTTGTAGTTGGGGTGCGGTCGCTTGTCGGAAAGTGTCATCGAGTGTTTACGAAGAATATCTTGTTCTCGATTGATTTCTAAATCACCATTTGGTGCTTAGCAATTGATAATCGAGATAATGGTATCTCGTGTTAGACATATCGGTAGCTGCTGCTCTTCATCGATCCATCGATGCTTTTGATTAACATTATTGTGCACATTGTTACATGAAAAACGATATTCCTTCTATGTAAGAATGCATTCTATCACTTTGATTAGAAGCGACGCGTATTCGCGAGATTGACGGGTAAGCAAAACGTCGTAAAGAGAGAAACTAATAGCTAGAATGTTCGATAATCTGTTTGCCCGTCGCTCGACTCGATTAATTCCCTTCAATTCCGCGATCTATAGTGGATCGTTTTGGAAACATAATCTTTGTTTTCCACATAAACGTATTAGGAGTTAAATTGTTGGAGACAGTGCATTTTGCCGGGAGTGCTAGCGTTTGTCTTTACTTGTCACTCTCGTATCGAACATCCGATGATTGGTATAAGCGTTGAAAATACTCCGTTATTTATATCTATTGACGTAAAAATAAAATTAATAAACATTATCAGATTTCGCAAATTCTACATGACGATGACTTTAATTAATTGTGAAAATGCAATGTTATTATTATTTATATATTTATTTCCAAACACATATCTTTTCCTTTTGAACTTTTCTTCGGCCTTTTATGTATTATATATATAAATTTATTTTCGACCTTTAATTTGCCGTTATTATACGGTTAAAATTCTTTTACAATCTTTCGAACAATAAAAAGGGCTCAATGTTTCGAATTGAAGAAATTCTCGTTCTCATTTACACGCTTCTCCGTCTACTCTGTTTACGTAATCAAAATTACTTTACGATGAACGGCTGAGGAATAGTATAATAATAATAATAATAATAATAACAACAACAACAACAACAACAACAATGATGATGACGACAAAGGCATTTATTTACTTTGACGTACAATCTGAAAATTAACGTTTAAGCTAATTAATAAATTAAAAGTTTAAAATATACGATCGATGAATTAAAGCAACATCGTTGATAATGTGTTCCTCCCATTCTATTTTTTTATTTCTTTTTTAACAATAAACTTAGGAATATAGAAGGAAATTTGACAATGTGTATATAATAATACATGACAAAACTTATAAATTATATGTAAATTTATATTATGTACTTCTTAAACAAGGTAGATCAATTTATTTTTATATAATATTTAAATATAAGAGAAAGCAAGGACAATGAATATGAATGTATATATAAGTAAATGATAAAACGTGATCAATTATTGGTACATTTTATAGCTTATAGAAAAATTTATTTTGCTACGTATTGCAACAATAAGCTTAAGCCTTGGAATATAAAATAAATATATTTTTGTTGGAAATAATTGTTATTTTGAAAAGATTCTGATATAATGTGTAATTTTTAAATGAAAAAAAAAAAAGAAAAAAATCAGTGTTTATAAGTATCTTAGTAAAGATTATAGATTTAGTGTCATATAATTGATATATTTCTACAATTTTTATATATTAGCAGGTATTTTAAATTGCATAATTCAACGGCATGTATTTAATTAAATTTTTTTTTTTTCTTTTCTAATTTCATTCGCTATATGTGCACTATAATCACATTCAACTAATAATATTTAACTAACTAATTACTAATATTTATTAAAAAGATTCTGCTTCAATAATTTATGGATTAAATTATTTAAGAGATTATATTATACCCCATTGATATTTAATAGACTATTAACAAGAATAATTGTTAAATTTTTAAAGTCTAAATAGAATAAGTAATGCAATGTTAATTATGGCATACGAGCAATGTTTAATTAAAACTATATTTCCACGTTATTCTATCAAATGAATTTCGTTGAAAATTTAGTAAATAATTTTTCTATTAAATTTTCATTTTAATTCAAAAATATTTTTTATACGCGGTGTTCTCGTTGTTTTTACGTTTTAAGCAATAATTTCAATAACTACAATGTCAAAGTGTGATCTAATTAATTTATAAAAATTTAATCAATACGATTTTTATATTTTCAAACGAAATACATTAAAGGAAAGAAAATTTTTACTCTTTTTACTGCAACATTTTGGAAACTTCAAAATCTCGTAATGAAGGTACTGGTGATTTGTAAAGCCAGTAGACAACCGATTTATTTTAATACATTTTTTATGTTAATTGTTAGATATTTATATTGTTAGATGAATTATTAGATATTTATAATTCTTGTTTGGAATGCAGTAGATTGTAGAAAAATTAGTTAAAAAACAATTTCCTTCCAATTATTTGATAAACTGAGAGATTAAATTATTATCTTTTTTTTTTTTTTACGTAATATTTTATATTTAAACATAAATATTAATGCTTATAATTAGCATTTTTATTCTTTTCTTTTTTTTTTTTTTTTTTTTTTTTCTTTTTTTTTTTTAAAGGAATTATATATAATGAAAATATGTATACTTAACATAATTATTAAATCATTAATGTAAAATGAAAGATAAAATAAATGTTTTAAAAACTAATCGTTTACTATTTATTATTATATTTAGCTGGCATTATATTGTTTAAAGAAAAAATTTTGCATTCATAATTAATAAGAAAATTCATATAAATTTTCTTTGCCCCTATAAATTGAGAAATTTATTTCTCTTTTTACGTAAACATAATTTATAGATCTTGATTGAGTCAAGATGATAACGACTGAGTCTATGCAAATATATGCATTTCCATATTTAATAATAATGACGTATTTGTACACCTATACATACAATGTACAGGATCTTCTTCACATATGCATATTTGACTACTGGACAGTGAACTGTGCGTTTAACGGATAAAACTTACATAAATGAATAAAAAGTTTTTTTGTTTTTTGAACAAAAGTAATGGTGATTAATTCAGTCAAGTCCTCGTTGATGCTATTCTTGAAGCCATCCAGGAAACGTGACTAATTAACTAAAGACTGACAATTAAAATGAAAAAGTATAGCTGTCGATCCAACAGATCGGCTACAACGAGCGCATACAACGCTTTTACTGTTTATATATATATATATATATATATATATATATACACTCGCGCACACGCGTACAAGTATATTGTAATATAGACATTTTATAATATAAAAGTAGATTAGATGTTTAATGATATTTTCGAATGTATTAACGTTTGCACGCAAAAGTGCAGTATGTCGCGCGCACACAAATTCTTCCTAAAGTGTTTAATGAAGTTAACCGAGTACGACACGTAGGTACGCTATTAAAGTGCAGTTTTATCAAGGC